AACGGGGAAGCCGAGGACCCGGGGTGGGTAACAGACCAGCGGGTAGCCGATGGGTGGAGGGCCATCCGCCGGCTGCCCGCCGGTGATGATCTTCCGGGTAGCGGGTGGCTGGCGGTCAGGCGTCTGCCCGCCGGCTGCCCGCTGCCTGGCGGTGATTCTCGGGCAGCGGGTAGGTGGAGGGTCCCCCTACCCCCCACTGACTCTTTCATCAATTACGCGTCCCGGGATCTTTTGTGGAACCCGAAACCATGCTTAGACACTTTTAAATGCAAATAACGACACCACGTAGGCAATTAACGGATCAAAAGCAAGGATCATATTGAACACATTCTAACATGACTTCTAAACATAACAACACCCGAACATGCGAATTCCCACCCAAATATAAATCAATAACATCACGATACAAATTCCCAATCCAACCTAGGGCTCTAATCCCACCCAAATCATATTTTATCTCTATCATCAAGAAACATCATGATTTATCAAGAATCACCACGTAAATATCAAGAACCTCTTTTCAACATCAAGATCATCAAGATCCCACCTAAAATCATCACAACAATTATCAAGATCATATCACAATTAACATAGAAGATTTCACCAAGACACAAGTATAGAATGGGGAGCCAAAGAAGGAGATTATAGCAAGGAAAATAGGTTTTGTTGAGACATGGGTTACCTTTTAGCCTTAATTAATTTCCTTGGCTATGAAAGGTCTTTCTTTAAGATTTCTTCTTTCTTGATTTCTCCTATGGGAATTCTTGGGAATTCTTGTGTGGTGAGAGTTTATTGTGGTGTGAGTTCTAGGTGCCTCTTATGTCCCTATTTATATACCTAAGAGTCCTAATTAGGGTCTAAATGGTATGGGCTTGCCACTTCCATTCCTTTTGGGACTAAGGGGGTTGGTTTTAGGGATAAGGGTCCATGGACTATGGTGGACCCCCTTTTAATTAATGGATTTTAATTCTCTTTTTAGGGTGAGTAATTAATTAATTAATTTAGTTTTAGGGGTCGTAACACGGGGTGTTACAAGGTCGGCCGAGGATTGCATTGTGAGAGCATGCCAAATCGACCACGATGAATTTCATGTCGAGTTTCTGTACATCGGGATAGGTACCCACCTAAACGGCCAGAATAATATATCCCTCGGCTTCCACGGAGTCGCCCGTGAAACCGGCCAGTGGCGTCTTGACTGAGGCTAGCTGTTCCCGTGATAATCCAATTTTGACGAAGGTCTCGAGATATAAGACATTGACGCTGCTTCCGGTGTCCACCAGGATTCGCCGGACGACTACTCCATTTACATCCATTGCGATGACTAGGGCGTCGCGATGTGGTGTCTCGCCGGTGGGTAGATCTTTGTCTGTGAAGATGATAGGCTCTCGACATGCCTTCTTCGAGCCACCTTCTCGTCCATAAATCGTCCCCACGTACAGTTGCCGAGCCCAGGCCTTTCTAGTGTTGGCAGAGTCGCCTCCTTCCGGTCCGCCGACTATCATATTGATAACCGGCTTCTGCCTCCACTGGATTTCTTCTTCGTCAGTTGCCGGCTCTTGCCGCGATTACCTTCGACCGCCTCTGAGGGGTCGCCATCTTCCCTAGTCGCCGATCTCCTTCGCCATTGGTTGGGAGGCGGTGTCCCTTGTTGAATAATCCCCTCCATGATTTTCTTCAGATAGTAGCACTCCTCCGTGCTGTGGGTGTAGGATTTGTGGTATCGACAATACTTAGACGACTTACCCGGGTCCTCTTTCACTGCGCGCTCTCCAGTCGGAGGGAGCGGAGGCGGCGCGACGGCTTGTACTTCATGTACTGGATGCTGGGAGGTCGGCCGATATTGCTGGATGCTGGGTTTGTCGTATACACGTCGAGCTTCGGGTCGCCGGGCCGGGTCTGGACGTCTCTCCCGTACCTCTGCCCGGGTTCGCTTTCCCCCGGAGGATCCTCCGACTTCTCGTTGTTGTTTATGTTTTACGGCTTGTTCCGTATTGGCCCGCTTGTTGGCCATGTGGATAGCCTCCGCGTAGGTGGCATGCCGGTTGTCCTGAAGGTCGCGATACAGTTGGCCGGATCGCAGCGATTCGATGAAGAAGGTGAGGGCAGTCTGATCCTCTACTTCCTCAATGGACTGAATTTCCTTTTGCCACCGAGCCAGGTAAGTTTTGAGAGATTCGCCCTCCTCTTGATGGATATCCCCGAGATGCGTTAAATCCTTTTGCGGATTGATGTTAGCCGCATAATGACTCATGAAGCGGTCAGCCAACTCTTCGAAGCTGCGAATTGAGCCCGGGGGCAAGGCCACGAGCTATCTTTGCGCCGATCCCTTCAGTGTTGGCAGGAAAGCGCGGCACATGACGGGATCTCGAACCCCCAGCACTTGCATTTTGGCTTGGTAACTCAAAAGATGCTCGCGTGGGTCGCCGGATCCTTCGAAGGTGGCCTGTTCTTGGAACTTAAAGTCGCCGGGTATCTTATACGCCATAATCTCGGCCGAGAAGGGCAAGGCGGTGAGCAATGTCCGACCCGGGGATTTGGTTCGACCTTCCATTCGCTCCTTCAAATTCCGTAGCTCTTGGGCCAAGTGGGCCACTTCCTCGACGTTTCGGGTGTGATTTCCTGTGGACTCGGTGCTTTCGCCGACCTGTGACTCGGCCTGCCGCTCTTCATTGCGAGTAGGTCGCTCGGTCTGTCGTGCCCGAGTTCGAGTCTTCTTGGTACGAGTTCTCTCTCGAGTGACCTCTCGATCTCGTTGATTTGCCGGTGTGCGGCTGGGTTCTCTTTCCCCCAACCGTTCTCTCGCCGATTGTCGCGTCACATTCGGGCCTAGTCTCGAATGGACCGACCGCGTCGGCGGGTCCTCCGCTCGCCGGTCTTCTCGTCTATCCCCATCCGACCTTTGGGGCGGTTGCTGGTTGCGCGGCGATGGTCGCGAAACCGATGGTTCTCCTCTCTCCCGATTCTCGGCAGCAATAGCTCGTCCTATTGCCCGAAGCTGCTCCAGGGTAAGAGGTATCATCGGCGGGGGTCAGTTTCGGGGTGCCGAATCATTTTCCTGACTTTGCGCATTTCGTTGGTTCAACTGATCTCTCAAATCGACTTCCGGCTCACGGTTGCGATCGAGGGCACGGCTTCGTTCTTCAGACATTCTCTCGCTCGTTGGTCTCTCTTCCTTTGTGAACTCTGTTGCTCAGGAGCAAACGCGACCCTTCGTTTCGATCCCCACGGACGGCGCCAGTGTTGGTTTTAGGGTTTTTGGGCCCAGGGAGGTCCAACACAACCTTGGTCGGTGAATTCACCTTTAAACAAAGCTTTAACAAAATGGAAAGGAATAAATAAAAGTGGAAAAGTGTTTCTCTATTCTCTGGGCATGGACTCGCCTCTCCTTCACACCCTCGGAGGGGTCTTTATATAGGTGCCCCCTTATTTCGACTTTTAAGTACATTTAAAGGGTCTTAAGTGCTAATTACGTCGCAGAGCCGTTGGGCTGCCGTTACCGAGCCTCCCAACGGCTCCTCGACCGAACTCTTTAATGTCGTCATAAATGCCGCGCAATGGCTCTTTGTTGATCCGGCCGAGTACTTGCCCCTTCCTTAGACTTGGGCCGACTCCTGGACTCGGCCCTAGTCTCTTCCGGGCCTCATCACTTATTCAGATTCCCCACCCCTTGGGCCGCTTTTTATTCTTCTTGGGCTTCTTCGTCATTCTTGGAATTCCCCCTCCCTCTTGGGCTTCTCTTTTTGTACTTATCCTTCTTGGGCCGAGGTCCACACCCCATCAAGGAGCACGTGTCAAGCAAAACAACCTAAGGTGGAGTCCCTTTAAGTGTGTTTCCACACTTTAGAAGTGTTTCCGAGACTTGGGGTGCACAAAAGACAAGGTGAATAAGAAATATACTAGCAAACATATGCAAACCTCTTATTTAGCTTACCTTGTAAGTTAAGTAATTGGGTTTTAGTGTTTAGAAAAGTGGGGTGTTACAGATTCTCCCCAAATCTGTTCCAATCCACTCCGTGCTCACCCTTAATAGAAGCACATCACATGAAATTATAGTCACATAATAATATGATCACATAAACTATTAACTTCATGTACATGTTACACATAACAAGTTAACCAACATCTTATGTATCTACAGTTAACATATTTTGTACATGTGTATGTAATTATCATGTTTTGTGACTATAATTACCATATGAATTAATACCTCCAATGGTCCTCCGAGTATTAGTGATTTACCAGCTGTGGTCATCTGAGTTTTAAATGACCTCCAATGGTCCTCCATGTTTAAAAAATAACCACTCGTGGTCCTAGTTCTTAAAAAAACGAGAATTTAAAACGACCATGAGACATCCTAAAAGGACCACGGGTGGTTATTTTTTAAAACATGATGGACCATTGGAGGTCATTTAAAACTCGAATGACCACAATTGGTAAATCGCTAATACTCGGAGAACTTGGAGGTATTAACTCTTACCATATTATACACCTTCAATTTATTTATAAGTACAAAAATTATTAAATTACAAATACAAAACGACACATAATTTTTAAATTAGGGTTCACAATGCAATATAAATCCTAGCTCATGGAATAACAATTATCCCGAACTACTCTAGGATGATCCCGATATAAGCAAGGACTTGAGTACCGACCCTATAATAGTCCGTCCAATCATTATTGTGTGGACCATATTTTGTATACTGTAAAATAATATACATTTAATACAAAAATAATGTACTTTTAATGTATTAAAAATATACATTGTATTCAGGGAATGTACATTATTTGTGTACTAAGTGTACATTATATTATATAATGTACATTCAATACACAAATAATGTACATTTAGTATATTTAAAAATGTACATTTTGTTATGATCCAGCGGACCAATAATTTGCCTATTCCGTCCTGGTTCCAAGCTACAACCGGGCATAGTGGGCACTTTTACTCAGTAAAACTTCTATACATCATGATTGTCCAAAAGACAGATGTTAAACTTGAAGCCACAGCTACAAGTGAGAATGCAGAGTAAACATACAGAACAAGAGATGCATTTGATCACACCAGATTTAAGTTAAAAGTGATTTTAAATACAATCAAAGATCAAAACATAAACCCTTATACTTCACGGGATCGAAAGGAGAAAATTTCGATCCTAAGAAGAGAGTTAAGGCTGGAAATATGCAGTAAATTTTCAAGCCATGATGAGAACATGGATACATAGATGGCAAGACCACCTGTTGGGATGCATCAAGGAAAAAGTGTGAGAATCCCATTTTCATAAACTTCAAACTATCACCAACATCTCAAAACAGATAACACCTCAGGTGGTATGTGTATATAATCTTAATTCTTGAAACCATTCAGACTTCAGGCTCTGACTTGATTGCAAGAAACATACAACAACCTAACCGATAACACCTTGCAAACAATTCTTCAACACTTTGAACCATAATCACAATCACTGTGGGGTTAGAGTCCATATGCGGACACAAGCATCCTCCCCCGAACTTACAATATTGTAGTCATCCAAGAAAGATAGTCCATATACCCCACCCAAATGAGCTCCCTTGATCGTAGTTCTATCAGAGGCTGGCTTGCTCACTTCATATACAATGACACAGGTATCTAGAGATCCAGTTGCTACCTTGCTATTGTCAGGGGACCATGCTAAGCAATTTATTCGGGCAGTATGGTATAACATATTCTTAACCTTAACCTGCAAAACAAGTTTCTCAGGATTTTAAAACGATGTAATGTATGGTTCTACCAAAATCCATAAACAAAGCAAATTAAACATTAAGTACCTCACGAGAAGCACGATCCCAGACAACAGCCTCTCTGTTCGCATCGCCTGAGGCAAACATGGACAAATCTGGAGAGTAACGAATGACAGTGATAGCTCCCCTATGTTTTTCAATGACAGCCTCTTCATTGAGAGAATCTCCTGTAACAGAATATATATATAGTTTACCATTTTGAGCACCAACAATAACTTCAGTTCCATCTGGTGAAATTACACATGCTGTCACAGGAAATCCAAGGTTGATGGTTGAAACCACATGTGTCCCTCGAAGGAGGACAACTCCTGTCTCAATTGCAACTAAAGCCAGTTCAGGTGAATGAAGAGCAAGGCTCAAGTCTTTTGGTTGATTGCCAATGTCAACATTATATTCACCCGTACATTGATCTCCGCTTAGAGATGCTCTCCAAATCTGTTTCGGACATAGAAGTCAAATAATGTATTAAAATGACATAGAAAAATAATGTATTAACTACGGAACATAAATTTTTTAGTTTCAAAAGATGCAAACTCTCTTTATACAAGCTCATTATAGCCAAAGCTTCGAGTATCTACATCTATTTTATAACTAACAGTATTTCCACTATTTGATAACACAAGCTGACTACCATAAATTATGGAACAATTTGCAACTCCTTTTCCTCACTCTTAAGAAACAATTACTGGAAACTCAACCTAATATAAAAATTTGATTACAGGATTTAGCTGAACAATACAGAAAGAATAGCATAATAAAATTGAATAACAGAAAACTTTTACATTCACAAAGACTTTCATACACAGGTAAATAAATCTAGATGTAAAATACAAGCTAAAGAACTCTACTCACCTTATTGTCAAATGCAAATGAAACAATTTCTCCTCCAACAGCAGCAAAATATTTGATTTGTGAATTTGCCTTCCTCTCTAATTTTCCACAATAACCAATGCCTTGAAGCCATTTAACAATTAAACCATCATAGCTGCTAGATAATATAACTCTTGGCTCACTATTCAGTACTGATAATGAATTAACATTCTTCATGTGTCCAGAGAAAGAAACAGGATCTTTGTCTAAATTGCTTGCAGAGAATATGGAAATAGTGCCACCAAGAGAAACAGTTACAAGATGATCGTTCTGCCATAGACACCCAACTAGCATATCTTCAACTCCGCCTGAACCAGAACAAGTTAATGTTTCCTTCACTTTTCCATTTCCATCATCAGATATATCCCATATTTTGGCAGACTTGTCAGCTGACACAGTTAGCACCTGAACTTGACAAAGCATAAACAAGTATAGGTGGCTGAGAACCAATAGAAGATGCACTAAGAATTCTAATAAGCCCCAAAACATCAAGAAGCCAAATATTTATGTCATCAAACTTGCAACTGGTATTAACAACACATTCAGGGAAAATAAATATCGTGACTAAAAACACTTAATACAGTTTCACCAAGTAGTAGGGAAGTATATTAGTACAGTTTCAAAAAACTATTATTGTCTTAAGGGTGAGTAGTCAAAGTTCTTACCAAAGAGAAGAAAAACTTCAGCATCAAAACGAAGAAAATTTGGGAAATACAATTGGAAATGAAAAAAAAAAATACAATAGATGGGATGAGGAGAGACAGAACTACCTGTTTACTATCAGGACTCCAGCTCACAGCATATATACTGCCCTGATGGCCATTCTCGGAAGACAGCTCTCCAATTTTATCCCCTGTTTTGGCATCATAGAGTACACCCTTCTTGTCAGAGCTGACACTAATTAATTTACTACCGTCTGGAGAGAACCGCAAGCAGTTTACAAAATTAGAATGATGCCTGCAGGTTAAAAAGTCAGAATTAATAAGTTCAAATAGCATGAAAAAGCAATGAGTTCCATCAGCTAGAAACAATGGTAGTTGGTCTAAAAATAGAGTAGTCATAGAGTCTGTTGAATTAGATGAAATCCCCTTAGTTATGTTTTAAGATATTCAATTAAACAAAAAGATTGATCATGAAACTACCCAATAGCAGTTCTTTTCATTCTATGCCTTGTCCACCCCCACCCCCTTTCTTTTTTTCCTTGAAACAGAAATCACCATAGATATACTAAAACATTCTACTCTAAAATGAGCATCCAGAAGAAACATATTCAATTCAATCTGATCTACTAGAAATTTCTTTCATCGACTCTAAACTGTGCCAATTAATGCTAAACTTAAAGCCTAATATAGGGTTGAAAGTGTTTTGCTTTGTAACATTCTATGAAACCATAGACAAGGCATAAAGCCACTACTGAAATGATATCCTTGCAGTCAGGCATCCAACTTTCTGTTTTAATTTTTATTTCTCTTATTACAGGGTGGCAATCAGTGAATAGATATCAGAGCAAACGAATGTAAGATTCAATGCCAATAATCTACATTTTCAGCACAAGCATACTCATATATTGCAAAATTAAATGAGCTCAGGCACAATAAGATTATGTTTAAAAGAGCAGAGACAACATTGGCTTTGATTTGATATAACAGAAGAGGTAAGAAACCTGTGAGATAGCTTGAACTTAAAAGGGGGTCCTTCATAAAAGTTCACCAAAAAGTCTTCTCCGCATGTTGCAATCCGGAAAGGCCTTGTCGGCTTAAATGTACAACTCAAAACTCTCTTTGAGTGGCCATCAAATTCTCCCACGTTTGAACCTGAATCCCACCTGCCATTGTTATTTGTTAAATATGCAAGAATTAATCCGCGAGGTGTTAGAGCTATATGATTAATGATCTCCACAATCAACCTCGCTCGAAATGTAAAGTTTAACAGCGATAAATCTTCTCTACAAGGAACTAATCCAAAGCAGAAAACAGTAAAAACTGAGAATTAGGATTTAGGAAAGCAACTCACATGAAGGCGCGAACTAAGGACTTGCCCTTGCCATCACCGGAAGCGACAATGCGCATCCCATCGGCGGACCACTGGAGATCGTCGATCCGACCGGAGAGCACCCGGAACTCCTTCTTGAGTACAAAATCGTTGCGGGTGCCCCAGATCCGGACGGCGCCGGAGACGTCGGCGGAGGCGATCCACTCGCCGTTGGGGGAGAACCTGGCGACGGTGGTCTGGTAAGCATGCTCGGCGTAGACGGCGACCTCGAGGGGGCGATCAAGGTAGCGGATGATGACGGATCGGCCATTGCAATAGAGAATGGAGTTTGATTTCGGGTCGCCCGATATGAGGATGCCCCGACCCCGCTCCGTTGAAGGGACACAAGCGTACGTCTCCTTGAGCTTCGCTAACATGTTGTGCATAACGCGAAATGATAGGATAGCGAGAAAAAAGGGGAAGCGGACACCACAACTATCAGTATGACTATATTTGAAATATGAAAGAATAATTGGAATGGATGAATGAATGTTGAGAGTTGAGAGAACAGAGCTGGAAAGAGGACGTGGAGTTGTGATTGCCTGGCCCCACCTGCACTGTACAACTCACACCTGCCGTTTTATTATTGGTTTGCACGATAACTCATGCAAAAACCTTTACCTGCTGGGGTCCACCTAACTCAAATCAAATCAAATCTTTAATCTTTATGATGATATGATAAATTACTACATTTACTCTCAAGATCTTGTTGTAATTTTTAAAGAGTGTTTGGAGGTGAGATTAGGAACGAGAAATGAGTGAAAAGAGAAAAAATAAAAGAAGAAATAAAAACAAAATAAAAAATTGAAAAATTCCTGCAAAATCCACAAAACCCATGCAATCCTTGCAAAACCCCCAAATTAGCAGGATCAACCCACCCCTCTCTCCTCTCTTCTCCAAATACCCATTTTTTTCTTAATTCTTGTGTAAAATTTCCTTGTTGGGGATGCTCTAAGGATGTGTTTGGAAAGCATAAAAAAGACTTCTGAAAAATGTTTTATGAAAAATAACTCATTTTTCAGAAAATATTTTTCTTTTTGGTATTTGGTAACATTTTTCTTTTCAGTGTTTGGTTGCATTCCATAAAACTGTCTTCGTCTGTTTGGTTCATTTTCTAGAAAATTAACATAATTATTTTTAATTTTAAATATTTAAAATATACAATGATGGTGGTTGTAATACCCCATTTTTCTAACTCTTAATTACATCTCTAAACCGTCATTAACATAAACTAAGCAGCGGAAAACTAGAAGATAAGTAGTGGGAGTGTCACCGCCACAACCACCACTCTTTGGTGATTGCACAGGCTAAAAGGGGTAAAACTACAAATAAGATTAAGTTTGGGTACTAAAAATAAATACTGGAAACGTAAGGGGGGAAAACGTCACCCCAACACAGTCTACATCAATCCTCAAACATAAAGTCATAAGTCTAAAACCATAACATGATCATAATTAAAACTAGAGTTTAGACATCTCAAACTAAGAGACTAATCTAACTCGATCTCTTCTCACTGCTGGGCCCACCTGAAAGGGGTTTTGCAAGCAACACATAGACAAACAGGAAAAAACACTCGTTAGCTCGAAGCTAAGTATAACCACACTCAACCCTGTAAAGCATTCTAGCATATACTTTGAAAACATTTGATATCTTTATAGTAATAAGCTAATCTCAAATTATCTTTAGATTTATCACATTCTTTCTAGATGCTTGCACCCTATAATATCAGCTGGCATGCTTATGTAAGTACTAGACTGTTCTCATAGATTCAACATCTTATAAACTTCATAGATAACTTAACAAGCAACTCCTGCTGACGGATTGGATCATGTTAAAGGACTATACAACAGGTATTTACATGCTTTCACATTCTTACCACATAACTTGATAAGTAGAACTTCTACTACAACATAATAATCATGCTCAAGGAATATCTCAAGTTAAACTTCTCATTAAACAATCTTTTACGATGCTCTATTCGCATACAATCATGTATAACATTATGATCATACTTCTTATGCAATCTACTGCAATAATATATTCATACCCATATGCAATCTCGTGCAATTATATAATCATACTCTTATGCAATCTAGGCAACAATATACTCATACTCATATGCAATCTAGTGCAACCATATAATCATACTCTTATGCAATCTAGTGCAACAATATACTCATACTCATATGCAATCTAGTGCAACAATGTACTCATACTCATATGCCATCTAGTGCAATAATATACTCATACACTCTTTTATAAATTAGAGTACTTTCTGTGGAGGTCTCTTTGTTACTTTCTCGAGTCCCTCTTGACTCTCTTTCTTTCTCTCGAGTTTTTATTGACTCTCATACTTGAATCTCTGTTGACTCTCTTTCTTGAGTCTCTGTTGACTCTCTTTCTTTCTCTTATACTCGTAGACGGCTTAGGGTTTCACAGAAGTGTGACTCACCCCATCGGGAACGGCATAATTCCGACCCAATATCTCCTACCGTCTACGGAACCAATCTCGTGGTTCAAACTCTGTGGAATCAGGTATCAAACTATTAGTGTGCACACCCCCTAACTAGGATTCCAAGCTTGGCGGGAAGTTTCCAACCTCGTAACGTGGGAATACGCCGCGTTACATATACTGGGACCGCAATGTCCATAAATATCTCCCGAGAGGAACACAGTCCAAACGGTATCCTCCAAAACCTCACCGATATAGATAATACATAAATATATCTCTCATGCATCAATCTCATGCATGCAACAATTCTACTACTTCTCAATGCATCAAAGAATGATATACCACATGCTTATGGTTTTTGAAAGTATTTTTGGACTCACGTTGGCCCCTTATGCATTTTTGAAAAATGACTCATGTGAAATGTCAAAATGCTCTATAACATGCTTCCAATTCATGTATAAACTAACATGAAGTATTCAAAAATATATCATCATGCTCGGTTTGCAACATAGCAATTTCTATACATTATATTTCACTCAACAAATATGCTTCTATTCTCATTGATCAAATAATACAATTTAATCATACTTTCATAATAAATCATATTCTCAAAGGATCATGCTTCTTTACTCAATAAAAACATTACCAGATCACAATAATCAAATAATTCTTCATACACAGTAAACTAGCAAATTATTCACTGTGTAGCAATTCTTCACAAAATCCTTCTTAACATACTTGTTTTTAATCCAAATTCAACAAAATCAAAGCCAAAATGTGCGTCGAGACGATCCCGAAGAGCCGAGCCGCAAGGGCCCATAACACTCGGTCAGAAACGACACATAGCTGAGCCACAAGGGCCCGACCACTGCACAAAAATCCTTCACAGACAGTACTCAGGGACCTGGGGCGGGACTCTTCACGGTCCGCCCCTGGAGCCCCGTTGATGCGCCGGGACTAGGCAACGGCCCTCCTCTAGGGACGTGCCCTAGTCCCCTGCCACCACGGCTCTAGCAGGCAGCCCTTCTGATGGGCCGCAGTTAGGGCCGCCACTCTGATCTGGTGCACACTGTGTTGTGCACCAGATGGCATTTCTCCTGTAAAATCTCATCCAAACAAGTCCAAAACAATCTCGACAACTCACAAACACATGCTAAATCACTTCTAAGCATAAACACATCAAAAACCCATAGTTTCTACTCATTTCTACTCAAAACTAGGCTTCACATAGCCAAATTTAAAGAGGAATCTATGGGGTTATACCTCTTGTAGTCTAATCTTCTTGCTTGGATCTCTTCTTCCTCTTGACCTAGCTTGAGCCTCCTTCACCACCTACACTTCCCAAACACACCTTCTATTCTTAGCCTAGAACCTCAAAGAAAAAAGAAAACTAGAAGAGAAAAGAGGTTAGAATGAAGGATGAACAAGCTTACTAGGTTGTTATCTCTCTTCTTGTTCTTGGCAGACAAAAATGTGAGGAAGAGGCAAAGAATGAGATCAGGAAAATGAGATGAAATAAGGTGGTTTATATAGGGTTCAAAACCCTAGGATGATTCACAATGATTGGTTGAGGACAAAGGGGTAATTTCCCAAGCTAAAAGATGAATCAATAAGGGATTTTGGATGTCTTGTGGTTCACCATGCAACATGAACCATAGGCCAGAAATGTTATCTTTTATTACTTTGGGGTTGAAACACCATTTGATCGCAAAAAATTTTAATGGAGTGAAAAAGCTACTTTGGGATTTCTTAATACTGGATTTATAAAATGAAATTTTGGGTTGTTACACTCTATCCCCCTTAAAAGAAGTTTCGTCCCGAAACTTAGAAGAAACGGGTGGATCAAATTCTCGAAGAAAAAAGGTGATATAACCAAAAGGTTGGAATTTTCTGTTGGAAGACTTGGGAAAGATTTAGGAATCTCTGAGTTCTTATCTATCTCATCTAAAATCTAACAATTGCACCAACCAATCTATAACTGAACTTAAGAGCTTAACTAGTTACCTTGATCGAAGATGGCTAGATAACGGCTCCTCATTTCCTCCTCGGTCTCCCAAGTGGCCTCCTCAGACAACTGGTTAGACCACAAGACTTTGACTAGCTTTACTTTCTTTCTTCTCGTATCCCTGGTCTTGTGATCGAGGATCCTAATTGGTTTTTCCTCGTACATGAGGGACTCATCAAGCTCCACTTCTTCCGGTTGGATCACATGGGATATGTCCGGGATATACTTCTTTAGCTGAGAGACGTGAAACACATCGTGTACCTACACTCGGTCCCAAATATATCTAAGAACAGAGTCAAAGAGTTACATCTAACTCAAGGTATAACATTGTACATTTTCTAACTCCATGGGTAGGGCTAAGCGATAAGATACCATCCCAACCCTCTCTACTATGTCGTATGGCCCTATGAATCGAGGGCTTAGCTTTCTTTTTCTCCCAAATCTCATTACTCCCTTAGTGGGGGGACACATTTAGTAACACCTTATCGCCCACTTGGAACTCGGCTGGCCTCCTCCCTTGATCGGCGTACGACTTCTGTCTATCTTGGGCGGCTTTTAATCTTTCCCGTATCATCTTGACTTTCTCTCCAGTTTCTTGTAAGTATTGAGGCCCAAGCACCACTCATTCAACCGCGTCTTCCCAACATAATGGACTCCTACACTTTTGCCCATATAAAGTGATAAAAACAAATGTTTTTTGAAGAATATAAGGTCCTATAACAACATGTTTTGCTTCACGTCAATGGGTGAGAAAATTGATAGAACTATTAACAACGGAACATCGCCTCCTATATTCCGTATAAATGGTCAAAATTTTCATCGCATTGGAAGTTTATTACCTGCACTTGGCACTCAACCTAAATTTGCACAATTATACATTCACGATACAGAGAATGAGATACAAAATCGCTCCAACTCTTTCAGGTATAATATTCTGTGTTAGTAAACTCTTTTGTGCCTCTCATTGGTTAATACTGGAAATCTTATATTATATATTTTCATTTTTTAGGACGGAAATCAATGATTCTACAGTGCA